TCGTTAATTAAATGTAATTAAAAGCTGGCCGATAATCATGACTAACGATGAGTTCCTCGAAACATTGAAACCTCGAAATACAAGAAAATTTCGAGTTGTGAGAATTTGGAACTTCGCATCTTTTTCACTATTCGAAACTCTCGAAACCTAAATAAGAAAATGTGAAAAATCAACGAAAAATCGGTTCTTGAAACAAGATATACCTCCTGCGAAACAAAATCACCGCAAGTTTCGAGAGTTTCGAGTCGTGAGAGTTTCGAAATTTTATAACGCTTCGTATTCGAGTTTCGAGAAATTGAAAATTCGGTTCGAACCCATCACTACTTGCTATTAGAGTGTCCAATGTATAACGAGACGGCTTATCGCGACACCGTAGAACTTCTTCACCGGTTGTTCGAACATTCACAAGATTCCACGATAATAGCATTGCTGTTAAAAGTATGAAGGATTCATTCGCACAGAGTCCTAAGAAAAACTATAAAGCAACTTTTACCAGTACCCGGAACTGTGAAAGCGATGAATTCTATCATTTTCCTAGAAAGATTCGAAGAGTACCCTGAAAATTACTACAACTGCATCAACGTTACTTTGCGAGGAACGAGAAATGTACTGAATAGAAGTTATGTTCTGTAATAACGATATAAATAATATAAATTTATCTAAACTTCAATAATGTGATCGAAAACAGTACACAGTAATAATTATTACAAAATCGAGTTACAGACTTGTAAAGATTTGAAAACTGTGAGAAATAGTTATAAAAAGATATACCCACATAGTCCTTTTTTGGTGATGTATCTATTATAGTGCATCATTCATGTTTCTAAAGTTTCGAAACTTAATAAAAAAGGTTTGAAGGATTTAAGAATTCAGTTCGAACCCATCCCTAATAATAACCGTGGGACGATTTAGATCGCATCTTTAGAACGACCTCTTCCTAGTAAGAGAAATCGAAGAAGATCCGGGGAAGCAACCATAGCGAAAACAAGCTAACAGTATTCCTTAAGCCTTTGAAAGCTGGATAAATATCGCCACGGTAATCATCTGTTGATGCAACTCTTCTTCCTGGTCGCGACATCGGGTCGTAAGTGAAAGTGAACTCTCTTCGTGTTATCGCACTATAAAATTTGCGGAGGTAGAGATGGAAATCGAACGCAGGCAATGATGAGACGTTCGATTAACTATCGCGATATCCGATAGAAAAATGTCGCGATATGAAGAGATCATATTTTATGAGCAATTCACTTGAACCAGGCTATCTTTCTCCAATGTATAACGAGACGGCTTATCGCGACACCGTAGAACTTCTTCACCGGTTGTTCGAACATTCACAAGATTCCACGATAATAGCATTGCTGTTAAAAGTATGAAGGATTCATTCGCACAGAGTCCTAAGAAAAACTATAAAGCAACTTTTACCAGTACCCGGAACTGTGAAAGCGATGAATTCTATCATTTTCCTAGAAAGATTCGAAGAGTACCCTGAAAATTACTACAACTGCATCAACGTTACTTTGCGAGGAACGAGAAATGTACTGAATAGAAGTTATGTTCTGTAATAACGATATAAATAATATAAATTTATCTAAACTTCAATAATGTGATCGAAAACAGTACACAGTAATAATTATTACAAAATCGAGTTACAGACTTGTAAAGATTTGAAAACTGTGAGAAATAGTTATAAAAAGATATACCCACATAGTCCTTTTTTGGTGATGTATCTATTATAGTGCATCATTCATGTTTCTAAAGTTTCGAAACTTAATAAAAAAGGTTTGAAGGATTTAAGAATTCAGTTCGAACCCATCCCTAATAATAACCGTGGGACGATTTAGATCGCATCTTTAGAACGACCTCTTCCTAGTAAGAGAAATCGAAGAAGATCCGGGGAAGCAACCATAGCGAAAACAAGCTAACAGTATTCCTTAAGCCTTTGAAAGCTGGATAAATATCGCCACGGTAATCATCTGTTGATGCAACTCTTCTTCCTGGTCGCGACATCGGGTCGTAAGTGAAAGTGAACTCTCTTCGTGTTATCGCACTATAAAATTTGCGGAGGTAGAGATGGAAATCGAACGCAGGCAATGATGAGACGTTCGATTAACTATCGCGATATCCGATAGAAAAATGTCGCGATATGAAGAGATCATATTTTATGAGCAATTCACTTGAACCAGGCTATCTTTCATATAAGGTGAAATGGGGTAAGTTCGTAAACGGGGCAAGTGCGTATACAGATTATTTTTATTACAATATAAGCGAAATTTCTCCATTTAGTATGTTTGTTTCCTTGTTTTGTTTCACTATATCCCCTTTTATATTTCAGCTAAGAGTACTTGTTTGCAGTATAGAGTACCTGCATAATGCAGTAAAAAGTATTTTATAGCAGATTTGTTAATAATTCTGCTCTTGCCCCGTTGCACATGAAATAAAGTTTCAAAGTATTTAACTTCAAGTTATGCTCTTACCCCATTTTCGGGGAAAGTGCAGGGTAGTTGACATTTCAAACAATTTCCTATCAAAATCAAAATGTACAAGGAAAATTAAGGTCTTAGTTAATATTAATTAAATAGTAGTAATTGTGCAAAGCGTTCGATATCGACAGCGTTAAGTATTTACATAGCAGACTGAAATTACTTACGTTTAAATACCAACTTTACAAAAAACAGTTTCCACTTACCCCACTTCACCTTATTGTTAGTATATGTATAAATCTTATTAGTTCAGTTTTATGTACGTCGTGTCACCATGCAAAAACGACTGAATATTTTTTCATAAAATTTTCCAGAGAGATAAATCTGATGACGTAGATGGTTTTAGAACTGGTTTTGCGCTGATCAAAATTGGAGAAGCAACAAAACCTTCACCTCAATTTCACGTGCGTTTTGGCAACAAAACATGACGTCAGAACAAACAAGTTATTCAACGAGTCAGACTTCAAGAATTAACTGTGACAACAGTTACCAAAGACAACAGTTATTTAAATATTCCAGTCGTTACAAGAAGTAAATCTCATTATTGATATTATCTCTTGTTCAAGAATGAAACATGTGAATTTCCATAATGGGAAGCGGGCAAACCGGCGTGGGTTATCTATTATAAACTTACTTGTGTTTTGAACGTCACGCAAAACGAGACTTCAATAATTCGCTGAGCACACGATATGTAGAGTCTAGGACAAATTTGACTTTGATGTATAATAAAAATATGGCGACCACGAAAGGAGTATTGTCACTGATTGATTTTTAGGGATTTTTGGAAATGGAATTTTGGGGAATAGGAATTTGGAGATGCCGGAGTTTGGAGATTTTGAGATTTTGGAAATTAAAGGTATGGAAAGGTAGGGATTTTGTAGTGAAGGAATTTGGGGACCTAAAAATTTTAGGGTGTATGGATCTGTAATGCTAGAGATTTCGGAACATCGGAATTTGTGATGCTAGAAATTTCGAGATTTGCGGACGTTGACATTTGGGGAGATTTTAAGAACATGAAAATTAAGAAATTTAGGAATTTGTTAGTAGGTAAATTTGGGAATTGGATATTTAGAATTGTATGAATTGGAGAATTTCTAAATTTGGGAATTTGAAAATTTGGGGACTGGGAAATTTATAAATATAAAAATTTGCTAACTTAGAAATGTGGAAATTTAGGTAAATGTTGGAAATTTAGGAAACTTAGAAATGTGGAGATTTGAACATTCGTGATTTCAAGACATTTAAAAATGTAGGAAAACAAAGATTTAAAAACTTGGAAATTTGATCATTTAGAAAACTTCAGAATTTAGAAATTTAGGAGCATAGAGATCCGGAAATTTGAGAATCTAGAAATTTGGAAATTTAGTAATCTGTAAATTTGAAAAGCTGATAATTTGAACATTTGAAAACTTGACAATTTGAACATTTTTAAATTTGAATATTACAAATTTTAACATTTAAAAATTTGGAAATTTGAAAACGTAAATTTAAAATTGACAACGTTGCATGTATTCTTACTTAAAGGAAGTCCATGTTGCACCGGAGTATACTCTTATATTCCAGTCAACTTTCTATGCACTCGCATAACTTCAAAATGGCGTATTAAATTTCAGTTGGAAATATAAAACTTCATTTCTTACTTTTATCCTGTGTATTGTGTAACGTAATGTATGCTTATTCTTAGAACTTCATTCTTAAAAGAACAAATTTTACATAACAATTTATTGATAAAATTGATAATTGTTTATTGATATAAAGTTATATTATGTACTAAGGAAGAAATCATATAAAAGAAATATACTAAAATTAATGTACTTCAAAAATCAATAGTATTTGTTTAAAATATATAAACTTTTTTATGTAATAAATGCAATATTTTTATAAAACATAGAAACACAGCAGAAAATTACTGTAAAAATACTCATAGTCAAATTATCATTTTTAATTTATTTATTTACAATTATTAATATCATGAATATATTGTATTCTGTACATTATAGAAAGGATTGTAAAGGTGTCGTTGAAGAAAGTCATTCTTTTACAAGAAGTCGATGCAGAAATAATTAGAATAAAATTATAATTAGAATTGAACCAAAAATTCAATTACGATGAATATACGTATATAGTTTATTACATTTGAATTGCAGTATGCGTCAAAATGTAATATGATATTACAGAACAAGGGGTTAACCCTAGATTTATGGACGTTTAAGGTCAACTATATTATTAACTATAACTAAATATTTAAATTGAAAGTAAATTACAAAGATAATTAAATGATATTAAGTAAACCAGTTAATACAATCTTTATTTCAACGAAGTTTAATACATTTTCATAATACCTTAAGAATTTTCATAATTGAAAATAAGAAATTTAAGATCTGTCATCTTCCGTAAAATCTAGAGCTAATATCGATTTATTATTAGTGTTAATATTTATTGTAATTTCATTACATAATAGAAATTATATAATTGACAGTAGAATATTCCCTGGAAAGTACTTAAAGGGAATTTTTGTTACAGGAGACCAGCGAGACGAAGGAGGCGCAGCAAACTCTCGCTGAGCAAACACCTGTTAAGAAAGAGGTAGTACCAGACACCAAGGACATAAAAATCCAGAAAGAAGATGAAAATAATTCGAAGTCAGACAATGAAAACAGCGATCATGACGTTGACGACGATGACTACGATGACGACGAGTTCCCTCCTGTTCACATTAAGCTACCCCTTCAATTCGATTTTGACGAAATTGCAGGCGTGAGTTGATCGATATTACATTCTATAGACAAGCTATAAATATCTTTTATTACAATAGACATTATAAATATTTAAATATACAACGTTTTAAAGCACAAAAATCTTAAGATTTTTAATACAAAAATTTTTAACACAAAGAATTAACTCTTTGGAGCACGGTGGGATTAAAAATGTCCCACTTTTTTTATGTATGGTGCATGGTAGGACATTTTCAGGCCCACAATATTGCATGTTTGGTGGTGCTTTAAAGTCGTACTCTATAACAACAAATTAAAATAAATTATTATTTTTCTATGTTTTCATATTATGTTCCTTCGTTAATGAACCATATTAATATACCAACTTTGTTTAATTTATATAATAAAATACTAGGTCTTATTTTCCGAAATCTGTACCCCAAGGAGTTAATATTAGACTTTAATATTTAATATCATTTTTTTATGTAGAAATGAAATCACTTATTCCCTTATTACTTATCTAAAATATCATTTTGTTTATAATGTTTCAGACTTTGATTCAGGAGGCACGCAGCCGAGTATCTTGCGTGGTTGAAAGACGAAGGGCTGACCAAGTGATGGACGGTGCTAATAACAGTGTGGAGAACAACACTGACTCTCGTTACCAGAGACTGAGCGGAGAGCGCGTCGCCATTTTGTGTGAATCTGGCAATCCTCATCAAGAGTACGTATAATATTCCATAACCGATTTAAAAAATTTTATCTTTTAATAAAAGATTAATTTTTATTAATCTTTTGCATAAGAAAGTATTTTTTCTGTCGACAGATCTCTATGACTTTGTAGATGAGAAGTTTGATGTGTTCTTTTAAAGTTATTTCTTTATTATTTATTGTAGTTATTGTTTTAGTATATTTGTAGACCACATTACGCTAAGTAAATTCAATTAGATAATATTTATTTCAAAGTGTTGTATTAAATCGAATGAGTGTGTCATCTTTCGAGTGCAAAGGGTTAATTACCTTCATTTAACTATTTTATTAAAATTATTCCATGTATTCGTTTCATGAAAGTTATTAATGTAACTGTAATGTATGAGCTACTAGCTTCTTAAATTAAAGCTAAAGTTCTTAAATAGGTTATTTTATAAATGGTATAGTGAAAGTTGTAAATTCTGTTAAGCAATGCATAATATAAGTTTTTCATCGTTTTGCAATCTGTAACTTCTTTTGCAAGATACATATAAATGCCTGAAAGTTAAATTTGCGAATTGCTTTACATTTGATCTTTGCAAACTTGATACAAGTATTTCTCAATATCAGTCTACTTTTACTACAATAAAATTAACTAAAATGATTATCATCCTTTCGTCATAAAAATTCAAAACATCCTAACATTTAATTTAAAGGATTATCAAAAAATATAAAGCTAAAAAGTTTATTTGAATTGCAGACAGCAGGACCAGGAAATGCTTACACCGATCATTATTCCTTTGGGAACCGTTCAAGTACCTCTTCAATCTCAGGAGCCAAATCCAGGTTATCATCAATATCAAATACACACTCAATATCAAGTTCCTGACATGCAACAGTTGCCCCTTAGTGACCCACGTGGACTGAATCACATTCCACCTGGTGTTCTTCCACCGGAATTACGAAACCTTCCTCAAGTTACCATGGAAATGAGACCACCACGAATGGGACCACAGGCCCCCATGATGGGACCACAAAATCCGATGATGGGACCGCAGAACCCTGCGATGGGACCACAGAACCCTGCAATGGGACCACAAGTGAGTTAATATTATTAAAATTGCATATGCTCTTATCTTTGCTCTTACAGAGTAATTTGTTCAAAAAACATAAAACATGAGTTTATACAAAATTAGTAGAATAAAATGGCGAGGTTAAAGCAGAATTATCATTGAATGTTAAGAATGAATTTTAAGACTTTTGTGTTAATTTGAAACTTGTTTTAATCTACTGATACAGACTTTTTGAAATGGCGCCACGTTTAAAGCACTTAAGCTTTGCCATCGCAATAAGTGATTTTGTTTATCTATATAAGAATTATATGGCATATCTATTATTTTTTAAATTGCTTTTTATATACAGTATTTCTGAAAAATTAAAATTTATTTATTTTCATGGAATGTGACAACTTCTGACATCCTTTGGTAATTTACTTCCATGTAGATAATTCATTTAATTGAACAAAACAGTTTAAAAAACATGTCAAAACATCTTAGTTTCTCCTCACTTCAAATTAGAGAAATGATTAATGTACCTTTGCCGACCTGTATGTTAACTTGTGTTGAGATGAAGAGTAATTGTACAAATGAATTTATATTTCGTCCCTCGTATATTTATTTTGTATTTTATTTTCATTTGAAAAGTAACTGCACATCTATAAACCTATTGCTAATTTCAAATTAAATTTTATTCCAAATTATACAAAAAAGTTTCTTGCCCCCAAATTAATTTCGGTCGAAACTTGAATATTGAAATTTGCCTAAAAACCACCTTAATGTTAAAATAATCAATATTAAAATAATATAACTGGTTCAGGTTGAGATCCGCCGAATTCCCATCGAACTGCATCACTACCCAGTGAACCCAATCAGAGGAATGCGACCACCAATGCCCCAGGAGCAACAACAAGTGCCCATGATGTATCACCAAGTCGAACAAGCACCCGGAGCATATAATCAAGAACAGGGTCCAGCAATGATGCCGCCTCCAGCACCACAAGCAGAAGCTCAAATTCACGAACAGAGAGTGATTCCCCATATGCTAATACCGCAAACCGAGCAGCGACCAGCGCAAGTACCGCCTCAAGTACAACCTCAGATGCAACCCCAACCTCAAGCTCAGCCTCAGCCTGAACCGCAACCACAGTCTCAGGTTGCTGACAGACAGCGCTCTCCCTTCCAAGGCATTCCATTTGAAATTCGAAGAATCATTCAACAAGTGCCTGTCGAGATCAAGAATATCATTCAACATATCACTGGCGAAGGGAGACCCATCCCTGTACAAGTACCTGAAGGTGCTCGCCGCGAGGTAATTAAATTCAAATTTATTTATTATTATTGCATTAAATCGTATGAGATTTATACAGCAGCCAGAAAGTACATTACAGTTAGTTTACAGTAGGTATAGTACAATAGTACATGTAGTACAACGCATCAGTCCAGCAGTTAGGTTACATTCATATGTATGTAAATTATACAGAAGTAAATACAAATTAAGAAGTAAGAAAAGAAAAATACAATTGTTCATTAATACTACGATGAACACTTGTATTTTTCTTTTCTTACTTCTTAATTCAATTCCAATGTTTCGTTTGAAAATTGTATGGAGCAAGGACTATACGGGGTGTCTCGTTTAACTCCTTAACCCCTTGCAGTATTTTGACGAGCTCGTGACGCACTTGCGGTTCAAATACGACAAATCTTGTTTGAATATTTAATACATTTCAATTTGAAGTTCAAGTCTAATTATAAGTTGTATAGACAAAGACCGTTGAATACGAAATAGCATAACATTTTGACTTTCTAGTTACTTCAGACTTTTTAGTTACTTCAGACTGACGCATCTGACAAATTAATCATACGGCAAAGGGTTAACTTACAATTTTTTAGGCAGTTGCGTCATTTAAAGTCACATAATTATTGCTAAAATGGGAAAGCAACTAAAGAATGTTAAAATGTTAAGCGCATTTTGTCTTCAGTGAATCTTGATTATACAGATTTTAATTAGGATTGACCCAAAAAGTCAACTGCAGTGAAAATATGAGGTCGGTTTATTGCATTCCAACTTGGTGTGCGTCACGAATGTGACACGTTATTGTAGAGTGTAGAGTGTAGAGCAAGGATTAAATGTGGACACCGAGTATCTTGTTTAAATATGAAAATATATAGGATGTTTCACACGTAATTTCAGTGGTATTACTCAGTGGTACTAATTGAATTTAGTTGTAGTACTCAGTGGTACTAATATTCTCTGTTTTGTAATAACACGGAGTGGCAAAATTACTGATAAAATTAGGCAAAGCTTTGATAAAAGAACACACTTTTCGACTTTAAATATTTTACAGGTATTGATAATTTAATACCATTGACATTACATACGAAATTTTTACGTTTTCATAATTGAGAAAATACAGAAATCATATTTACAATAGGCATAGCGCGTTTTACAGTTTTAATGAGGCTTCGTAAAAATTTCAAAATAAAATACCCTGTATGTTTATTCTTTAACGATATTTTTTAATAGAATTTGTTAAAGGTATTCTCATAAAATTAAGCATTTAATTAACATTCTACAATTTTTAATTTAAAATATCTAGTATTCAACTGAATATAGAAGACAGTGATTAAATTTAACATTATTGGAAGTTAATCATTATTTTTATAGAAGTAATGTTATAAAAATGTCTTAAATTATTTGTAGAACGTTCAAGAATTCAAACCGTTCCCGGAAGGAGCACAGCCCATTCCTCTCGGACTTCCACTTCCAGTAGAAGTCCGAAATTTGTTGGAGCATGGAAGCATGGAGAGTCGTCAGCGACAGGATAGTTCTAGCGAACAACAGGAAGCCAAATCTTACTCTGGATCGGACGAGGATAGTGAAGAGGAAAGAAACTTCCCAGTACCGGCTGAAATTCGAAACATAATTCACCAGGTGAGGGCACATTATCTACATTTTATCTTTAACCAGTTAACTGTGGCAATCTTTTTGCACACCAGTGTGTGTCAGCGCACCAGTGTGTGTCACGATAATCAAGCGATGACGAGTTAGCTCTCAAAAATTTATGAATCCATCTCAAATCATTTACACTTTTTATTTGTTTATTTCATTTCGTGTTGACCTCTAAACATTTTAAACATATTACAATTTACGAATATAATTTAGTTTTCGCTAAAATTACAATTTAAATATCAAATTGTAACAAAATTTTACGCATGAAGGATATAGTCGTCATGACCCGAAATTCTGCCACATCTCCATGACGGATATGGTCGTCACACACACTTAACTGGTTAATATCCATGTATAGTATTGTGTAAATTTAAATGAGAACCGCTGCATCAGCAATTTTTTAGGAGTACACCAAGAGGTAGCGTGGCCGAGCGGTCTAAGGCGCTGGTTTAAGGCACCAGTCTCTTCGGAGGCGTGGGTTCGAATCCCACCGCTGCCAAATTTTTTTTAAATTCATTTTTATTTACTATCTATTCTTTTAATCATACAAAGAATTTCTCATATAATAGCACACCTAAATATTTACAATTTAAGTTAAATATACATGAAAAAATAAGTCAGAAATATAAAATAAAATTCTTTTCTACGCTTCTTCATTTTCAACAAAATTGAATTTAAACATATTTCAAGTATTTATAAAACAGTTTATTTAGAAAATAACAAAATGCATAAATTATTTTTTAATTCTACTGTTAGCAAATACATATCAATAAATGTAATTTTTAACTCTGATCACGTACGTGCTTGCATTCGCCATTTTATATGTTACAAACAAATTTTGTTATATCCATCAAGATTGTTTAAATTTAGTTTTGTTTAAAAAGAAAGCTACATATGAATCAATGTTATTCTATATTCTTAACTTATTTTTGTTTATAAATTCTTTTCGCTTGTCTTATGAGGTCAGAAACGCCGTGGATGTACCTTTATTTCTATTATAAAAAGATAAGTTGCTAATACTAGGTTGAAGGTATTGCGTAAATGAAATTAGTTTATAAAAAAGTATAATTCTGTGATTAGAATATTAATCTAATAATTTTATTTAGTTTACTTATACATTAATACAATAATGATTTATTAATTTCCAAAATTATAAAAATTGATTGGAATGCATTCAATGGTCAGTCTGTGTTCACATGTTAACTTCATTGACACTAACGGTAATACTTAAAAATTAAACAAAAGGCAGACAAACACACATAAACTTGTTCAGTTTATACCAGGGGTGGCCAACCTGCGGCTCGCGAGCCACATGCGGCTCTTTGAAGGATTATTTGTGGCTCTCGATAAATGTACCCACGTTTCCTTTTCATTTTTGTGCTATTATATTTTAAAAAATTATTATCATTCCGTATGTGTTTCAAAATGTCTTTGAAATTACTGACGACAAATATGACAGACTAAGTGCAACGTTGTAACAAATTTCATTTCCGTCCAAGTTAAGAATGATATTACTCATCGAAAACTGCGCCATCCAAAATTGCGGCTCGCGAAACATTTCAAATTTTGAAAAATGGCTTGGACTATCAAGGAGCTTGGCCACCCCTGGTTTATACAAACAGTCGGGGACAAAAATAAGTGGACAATTACTCGAAATAGGAAAAGATGAAGCTTAATCGAATTAACATAACTGTTGTGAACTTTAGTTTTCTTTATTATATATCCTTATAGTATGTACATATTTATATGTGTAGTATAGATCGATTGATTTTTGATTTTCAGGTCGTAGAAGGCAACGCTTTCCCGGTACCAAGATTTGCCCTGCCATTGAGACCTGTCGAATCCTTGGAAATACCAGTGGAAGCTCGTGCTGAAGTTTCTGATGGTCAAATGCCCGAACAAGATCAAGAGCGACAACCGGAGCAACAGCAACACGTGACTCATATGATGATACAACAACAGCATCAACAACAACAACAAGCGCAACAGCAACCACAACAGGAACAAGAAGAGGAGAGTCGTCCGCACTGTAAGTAAAGAATTGCTTTAATTTTTGTAGACTTTTCTTAAGTTTTCGTTTTCGTTTAATATCTTAACCTGTGATTTTCTCAGTAGTTGGGTCATCGTACTTGATAATAACTAATTACTTTAATAGTAAGATAAGAGAGGTTGAGGTTATTATTATAGAAAGGTCATACCTCACTGACTTCAATAACCTTGGAATTTCAAAACAACTTTTCTGTATACATATCATTACTGTTTGGTCTTATAATTAGTTATAATTAGTTTGGTCTTATAATTTCAGAGGTATTCGGAAAAATATTTTCAATGCGGTTATTATTTATAGAAGGGCACACGCTTTTAATAATTCTAATTATTATAATTATTATCACAATCCTCATAATCACTATCACGATCATTATAATCATCATTACAACCATCGTAAACATTATCACAATCACTATCATAATCATTATAATCATCATCACAGTCATCTAAACGTCACCACAATCATCAGAGTCATCATTATCATTATAATCATCATCACAGTCATCTAAACATCATCACAATCATCAGAGTCATCATAATCATTATAAAAATCAGTAAAGACTGGTTTCGATGACCTTGAAATATACGGTGATACCTAAAATCAATGACCTGACCGAATTTTTTTACACATATTTTTTTATTATAACTTTTCAATAAAGCCTTCTAACCATAGGTTAGTATAACATCTTATTTTTGTATATAGAGTATGTTGGTTAGGTTAGTATAATTTAACATTAGGTTAGTATAAGATGTTTGTATAACATCTGATTTTTGCATATAGAATATGTTAATGAAGCTTGGTGGTAAGAAATAAGGACACTCTGCATATTATACTAGAAATGTAAAGTGTAAGTTAAAATGTAAATTTAATTCTCTAAATTCGTGAATTTTTAAATTTTCAAAAATCCCAAAGTATCTGGATTTTTAGATTTCCAAATTTCAGATTCACAAAATTAAATTTTCAAATCATCTTTCAAGATTTCTACGTCTTAAATTTCCTCCCTATCAAGAATAAAAGGAAAAACGTTTTCTTGTCAAATAAAGTACTTCGTTTTATAAGCGCTTGGGAATTGTTCTGCAGTTACAACAAAGTCAAAAAGAGTGGCTTTATAGTGTTACTTTCGAAAATGTTTAAATTACGTTTATTATTCTCAAAATGCTTAGCCATCTAGCGATAGGAGATTGAAACTGTTGAAAGTAAATTTGAAATACCTTCTGAAATGTTGATCTTTATTACTTATTAAACATTAGAATGCTTCAAATAGCAATATTAAACGACTTTGAAGTGTTTTATATGCGATCATAAGTCGAAAAAATATAAATTAGAAAAAAGATGGTTTCCAAAATTTATTTCTATTAGTTCTTATTTTCGCCACTAGATGGCTAAGCACTTTGAAGTCCATGAAATGCAATTTTTTTAATTTGTGACTAAAATGCTTCGAGTTTATTGTAATGTCATTTCTCTAACTTTATCGTGTTTGTAGAATAATTTATAAACATTAACAAATATTTGTTTCGATATTTCTGCGAGCAATCACTAAATGGCGATAGCAATGTAGGAATGGGGCTTCCAAAATGCTTTCAGCTTTCCAAATTAAGTACTTTATAATAAACTATTGTCTTTAATACCTTATTACCAAGGCACCGTGATATTTCTGTTATGAATATAAACTTGAGCGTAAAATTCGATTATACAGAGAAAATCAATTTACATTCCAATGTAGTTCTTAGAATCAGCTTTCTAAAACGTAGAGTACGCAATAAAACAGCTTTCTTTCAAAAATAGACATGCACTTATAAGAATTGCATCATTTATTGATTTGGATAATGTCTTGAAAAGTAGGCATAATAAATTGCCAATGCATAGATATTATTACCGGTTCTAGGGACCTGTTAAAGGGTAAGTACTAAAGGCGACACAGGGCGGTATCTTTGATGTTTGGCAAAGCGCATCCCTTTGACTTGATCATACAAGCGGGAAATTTAAATCAAGTGAATTTAATTTCGACCTCTAATAATTACAAATCTGTCATAAATTTTCTGTATGTAACTAATATTGGCTTTCGAAGTACTCACATCAATTTTACAACATAGAAAGTTGAGTAAGAAAGGCATATAAAATGATTACTCTACAAAATATATTTAAAAATATATACTACAGAAATGATGATTACAAATAACTTATCAAAAAATGTGAAACTTTTACAAAAAAATAGAGATGAATGCTGCAGGAAAATGACAAGTTTATTACAAAGAAATGACTGGTGCACGTGTTATAAGGAAGGGCAAAATATTTACTTATTACAAATTGCAAATAAATAACAAAGTATTTTTTATAAATAAGTTATAAATAAATTATAGATATTAAACGTGTTACAGGGAAAGGACATAATATTGTATAACCTAATCTAACATTTGTATGAGGTAGGTGCGGAAATTATAGAAAATTCTCGGTTTATGGCTCCCTTAGATTAAAAAGCAGATATAAACATTCTTTGCCGAACGCTATTCTTGCGCACTACGATTAACCCATTAGTTGGCTAGAAGAGCACGTATCGAAATCGTTATACTATTTCCAAATCTAGGGATTACATATTCCTATATCCTCCAGTTTTCATATTCTTGAGTTTCTATATCTCGAAATTTCTACATCCTCGAATATTTACATTTTCGAGTGCTTATATTCCCGAATCCATACATTTCTAAATACCTACATTTCCTAATTCCTCCATTCCTACATCTCTATATTCTCAAATTCTTACATACCCAAACGTCCTCCGATCAATACATTCCCGAATTATTACGTTCCCAAATCCCTACATCCCCAAATCGATACGTCCCCATTTCGCTGCGTCCCCTTTTCGCTACATCCCCAAATCGCTGCGTCCCCAAATCATTACATTCCCAAATCCCTACGTTCTCAAATCAATACATCTCCAAATCAATACTTCTCCATATCGCTACATTCTCAAATCGCAACATCTCCAATTGGTCAAAACAGAAAAATAGATACCTAGACTCATATATTTTCACCGGTAGTACAATTAGCTCTAATAATTATGCCAATTAAACCAGAAACATCGACAGTTAGCAAACATCACGAAATTGATTGAGACAGTGGGAATTGCGTGATGTGGTTGTCACTGTTATTTTTATTTACCGTGACTTATTTAATGTGACACTGAAAGTTTTCACGATGGGTATAAACATGGCTTTTGCTTTGTGTCGACTTCCACACGCCAACTCATGGGTTGACATGAGTCAGTTGACATGGGTTAACATGATACCTATGTAATATATGGACACTACATCGTATATACCACCTCGTTTTGCATGTGCATTTAAATTGATTGTATCATTCCATCTCCCTCTGAAAGTAGTTTCTTTGTCGCCTCTTATGCCTACTGCATCTGTTTCCCTTGGCCGCTATTTTTCCTATGGAAGATTTGCATTTGACATATACAATAGTTAATTATATTCTACATAAGCCGTGTTTAATTGTTTACAGATGTGCAACCACGTTCGGTGCGCTCCATCCCAGAGGCTTTCACTCACCGCCGTGAGAAACGCGTACGCCGTTGTGCTTGTGATTGCGCTTGTTAATTTTACATTCAACGCACGAATGTCCCGTAATACCCTGGTTAAAGAGAACATCCATTCCCTCCAAAAAAAGACAAAAAAAACATTTCGAAACATGTTTGACAAGTTCCTTTAACCCGAAAAAATCTTTCAAAGAATTCTAACACGAATCTTTCCCTTCGAGTTTTACATTTTCATAAACCTTGGTCATATGAGCAGGTACTGATGGAAGAGGACCCAATGGGACAAGAGCTTCAAATGAACCGTTTCGTTGTGTTTGTATTACCACGCTGTAAAACAGCAAAGCCACTTTTTAGGCTGGAAGTAAATAAATTGAAAATAAAAATATGTGGCGCGGAGGATTATGTAGAATATAGAGACTTGTATCGAGAGAAAACATATAAGGTGATCCATCAATATAAGTGATATTTTTTTAACTAACTCCGGCAGAGATATTAACTTTGTCGTTATTTCTTCGGTAACATTTATTATACAGGAGAGAAATCTGTGATCGTTTCTTTCGTAAAACAGTTCTAATTTTTGGAATAAAAGACATGCACAACGATCATTGTATTATGGCCAAGAAAAATTTCCAATTCCTTAACTCGATTAACTAATCGTCTCGCTATGTTTAGGTTGAAGAAACTAAAATAAAGTTTTAAGACTCTTCTGTAATGTTCAAACTGATTGGTGTGTGTATTATTATAATTCTGATCTATACTTTTGCAGACTAACTTCTGAACCTCACTTTGTACTTACGATAAATTTTAAGGTATGGACACTTCTCTATTTCTGTACAACTTACACACACGAATAATTTTCTTTTCATGACAATAAAGCGATAAGAGTATTGGTTAGATTCAATATCCTGTGAACGTGTTCTTTTCAGTTAATTTCTTAATTATCGACATTAATTATGTTTTAAGATATTTTAAGCACAATAACAGATATTTTGATGACATGTTTTAGTATAAAGCTTTCAATGTAGTTTAGCAAAGTACCAAATTTTATTATACATAGTAACGAAGTTGAAAATGGATTCTGACAAATGTTTTAATATTGTAATAAATCATAAATAATTAATGTTCGTCATATATTTTTTGTGCAGGCTTCTCGTATAGTATTTTTTTAATATAAATATGAAAACATGTGGGATTTTATAAATATGCTTTAGTACATTAAAAGATTTAATGCGTAAATTTACATTTATGATCTGTTAAGATATTATTATTTTTTCTTAGGAAACATTAGATTGTACCGTTCAATGAGAAATATATTGGTTACCTATAACTAGCTTATTTAATAAATGATAATATGTCAGTAACTGTAAATTTTATATAATTAACATTTGAAGGAAGAATGTAATCTTCAGCGAGCTACTTTTCTTTAAAATGTACGAAAACAGTCAAGTTTGTTTCAGGTCCTACCTTTCCATACTCGGTAGAAAAATATCCGTATGATGTTTACAATAAAATAACGTTTTTAAAATTTAAATAAACGATTTTAGCCTTTAAGAAACCAAATGGATTAATTTGCTAAATATTACATATTTGTTCTTTAAAAACAAATTGCGACTAGTCGAGACATGTAGATGAAAAAATATTAATTCGCACTTTCTTGAAAATTGGAATATTGCTTAAATAACAAAAGTATCTTTCATAACTTCAAAAAATCGATTTGTCTAAATAGAGACATTAAAATACGCATTTTAAACCGAAGACGAACTTAAAATTCAAATTACTGAACGAGTGTCAACCATTTAAATAAAACCAGTCTTTCACATACATAAATCTATTCTTCCTCAAATAATGCAAGGCTTTACATCTTCTGCTTACAAGCATTTAAGAAGAAACTGTAAAGGTGTTTCTATGCGACAACGAAATATTTGTGAACGTGACTCGAGTACGGAAATATTTAACCATTCACTCACAATCAGAAACTGTGTTGATAGTATTGGACAACATACTATCAGTTTTTTTAATTGAAACTTGTTTGTATAGTTTCTTGGTAAGTATTAAGTTACATCTTTACTAATACTTTTTTATATAAACTCTAATAATGTCCTTTTACATATTATGTTAGATCCAAATTCAAAAGATATTATTTAAAAAACTGAAGAACTTCATATTTGGATAAAAGAAAAAAGTAATAACAAAGTGATTACAACAGGGTATATTTGACTTTGGAAATCATTCAACTTTTATTAAGAAATTTGTTTCGAAAAATGAATGATGAGTTATTTAAAAATGTCACTTTAAAATACTCACCCTGTATGTACCAAAAAAATGTATACACCATTTATTAGCATATAATTGAATAAATATTATAAACAAAAAATAAATTGATATAATACGTTTATAACTACAAATGTTAAAAATGACCACCACCGTTATCTAATGTTTTTGCCAATTTATTTGATATTAATATTCAAATGAGTATACATTTTATTAGAACACTGCAAATTTTAGTTCATTATATATTCTTGTTACCTAAAACACAAACAGAGACACAAAAATATACGTTACAAAATCTGGTAAGTCAAGCTTTACATTCACATGCTTTTCTCGAAAACACAATTGTATATTAAATAATTTTATTTTACATTTTCTTTATTTTCTATAAGTAATTACTAATTATACTTAGAGTAGTCTAGAAGGAAAAGGAACATAGCACATTTTAAATTGTAGCTCTACTCTGTATATTATACATATACGAGAGCTTAGTCGTACATTCTAAAACTAACAAATGTTTATTTATTAAATGCACATTTGGCAATTTCCATTTATACTTATCGGAGAACTTAAATATTATTAAAAAGGTACGAAATATTATTACTGCTTTTTAGATAATAATAATATCAACTAATATAATTGATATTCATTTTGCATCCTTATTCTCATGCACTGATTTTTTACAATATTACGATATTTTAAACTGATATCAATATATCTCTGTACATTAAGTAAAATAAACTTATTGCTATGATCCATAGAAGGCTATTACACGACACAATGTTTATTAACATTTAGAATTATAATTGATACAATTTATACTTCTGTAATTAATATACGTACTATTAATATCATAAACAAATATGACATTTACTGTATAAATCACAAATCACAAACTAACAACACCACGATTAATTATTAATTTTGATTTGAAATTATTATTATCTCTATCCAATATGTTCTAATACTTTATAGTAGATTTTACTTTTTAGTACATGAGCAATACAACCAATTATGAATTTAATGATTCAGAATAAGTAATACTTCAAAATCATAATATAAATCATAATACTTATTTTCTTAAGTAATAATTTTTATATGCAGTCTTATATTGAGTAATGATCGGATTATTATAATGTTCATTCGTTTTTCTTACTAATAAATAAAACGTTTTAATATGATTTTGTGATCATTTGTGGGTTAGCAGTATTCTGCAATAAATTATTCTGTATTACATGATTAATAAGACTAAATACGATTTTTAAAGAAATAATAAAATTTCTGAACTTTGTACTAACAAAATCACTGTAACTGACTGACTGACTTGCATTGAGTAGTAGAGTTTATATCAATATTGTTAAGAAATATTTCTTTGTTTTCAAATTTCGGTAGCATTCATTTCTAGATTTCTTACAGGACTTATATTACTAATAATTTTCTCCAACTCTTTTATCAACAATTTCAAACTTCTTACTTCCTTCTCTTTACGTGAATTCTTGTTATGAGCTATTGCTAGTTTCGATCGTTCATAAGTCATCAATCGCAGAAATCGATCCCAAGCTTCATTGGAAACAAAATCCTGTCGAAACATATATTTTGTTTCATAACCATCCTTAAAACGAACTTGTTGCGGTTGTTTGTCACTGGGGAATAAGAACTTCCTACTAAAACATATAATATTAACATAATTAAAACATATAATATTAATGTAGTTTAATTATGCTAAAAATAAATATCAGTTACCTTTCATTCCTAATTAAATCACTATTCACACTTTTGTTACTTGCATTTTCAGTCAAAAAATGCTGTTCAGGTACAGCATTATTACTTTGATTAGAAATATCAATCATGATCGCAGATGAAGAACATTCATCAACAGAATTTTCTGTACTTGTTACAGATTCTTCTTTAATACTTATTTCAGTTTCTATTTCAATATCAACATCAGTTTCTTCATTACCACAATTTTCATTTAACATTACATCTGGCTCTTGTGATTTATAATTTATATTTTCAAGATTACTAAGAGAGGTTAATGATAGTCTGCAATGGTTACTTTGAGCTAAAATAGACTCATTAAAATTTCTTATTTGAGGAACAGCTTCTGGACGTAGTCGTTGTCTTCTTCTTAATTCATCGGAATAATAAAATGATTTTCTATCAAAATGATCGCTGCATATAATTTTAGTACTGAGGAATGAAACATCTGATAAGTTTAATGCTTCTATCCACTTTTTCCGTCTTATTTCATCTTTCGGAAACCTACATTTGTAACAAGGATTAAAGGATTAAAGATTGAAAAGTATATAAATAGGTTATAACGTATAAATACACTAACGTATGAAAACTGCAGCTAAACGTATAACCTCGCGATGCTTCTTTTCTACATATGATGCACCTTTTTGTCATCTTGACCCACTTTTCATACAATAATTCTCAAAACAAACAAGAACAGTCAATTGTTGTCAAATTCAAGACTCAATCGACTTTAGAGGTCTCACGCGGCGAAACTGAGAAACACTAAACAGGGATTAACGCTCCTTATTTCTCCAATATGGACTCTAAAGGAGAGATGGAATAGCTATATCACAATATAAAAATTGTAACTTCACTTGCGAATATTTTGAGATAATAAAGTAATATTTAAAAATTGTTTTTTTTTTTAACATAGTGTGTATCAATTATTTCATTTCAAATTTATTATTAGAAAATGATAAATTTATATATTTTTTCCTAATCTCCTTCTTCCTTCCCCTCCCTCTAAAGCAGTTAGCGAATTTCGAAATGTGGCAAACATAAAAAGAGACAGCAAGTAAAAGGGAAAAAGATGAGGGAGTCAAATAATTAAAAAAAAACATATTTCGAAAAACAGTACGGTAAAATATTTTTACTGAACGAAACTTACTAATATGCTAGTGAAATTTTTCTGATTGGAATAAACCTAAACGCGATGTAATTTCGATCATATTTATTCATAAAAATTTATACACTACTTTGCGAGTACTAAATAAATAAATATCATTCAACGTATATTATATTGTTTGGATTTTTTTTAAACAGAAAAAATTCATAATTGCATTAATAAAAGCATTATTTGAGAAAAATAAAATATTTTAATTCATTTACTCCTAAGCCCTGTGACATGATGTGAAACGCTTTGAACACACTCAAGCTGCTAAAACAAATTTCATGTATAATTTATCTCACGTTAAGTATGAAAAAGGCACTTCTAAATATTATTTGTATAATTATTTAGCATCTTAAAAAGGCCGATTGTATAATTTAGCTTTCAAAAAACAGAAGTATATAAATATATATTTTCGGGAGTTTCAAGAATGTTTATTGAAAAAATCTGTAAATTTATTCACAACAATTTACAGTTGGCAAGAATATGTATTTCACTTTAAAAATATCTTTTACATTATTTACTTTTCATTTACTAAACAGTACAATTTAAAAACAATCATTATAAATTACAATATATGTTACTTCTTAAATATTTGAAAAACAAAGATTAAAAATGAATCTAAATCTATTAGCTTCTCAAATTCAATTATAATATGATTTATTTCTTTCATATAATTTTTGACAATGTATATGTCCCTTCATATATCATGCATATATATTTTATATTAGAAATATATGAATTATGCGAATAATTCAAATTTAAATATTGCGAAATTAATTATTCAAAAGTTGTTGTGAGGGTAGGAGTAAGTATCGTATTTGGAATATTTTAGACACAAATTGATTCAACAATATATTAACAATTTATTTCTATCAATTTCATATATTGCAGTAATACAAAATTTACAAATAATCTTTTCCTAAATAATTTATGTATGTACAATTGATTCTGAACACTACTGTATCATTACAATTCAAGGAAATAGAACAGTTTTTGTTTATCAGTACATGCAGAATGAATATTTTTTCAAACAGTAAGCCGACGAATTTTTCACATTCGCAAATCGTATGTGTACATACAAACAGCGATTATGAATGTAAGAACAACGTCCCTTACTATCCATGAAAGGCACTGCAAGTTGGATTAGTATTTCTATCGCCGTGTTGTCTCATTTGACCGAAAAAGTTTTCTAAATGCACTTTGCCTATAGCTACGTATAATAAAAATTAAAAAACTAAAGTCATGTACTTCTTTCAGAAACGAAAAATTTTTAAGAATTCTAATCCAATTTTGCGGTACCTTTGTACACTCTTTATTTACAGATTTCTCTTTTGATGTATCTTATGTCGTGAAGTATTTCACAATCTGTAGCTATTACCTTTCCTGAGGTTGCTTTACTACTATTAACACTGTCAAAAATATCATTCACAAGATGAATGTATTGAACGATGCCTAATCTTTTAATTATACATGATTGCATATATCTTTAACTTCATTGGGACTCATGTCATCACAAAACCAGTGAATTAACTAAAGACTTGAGTACAAATTTAACTTTCAATTTTAAAAAATTTTTTTGGTAATTCATAATTTACTTGCTTGTAGAATATTATCCATAAAAATAAATTTGAAGTCTTTCTACAACAAATTGTTCTGTATATACTTTACTAAATGAAACAGATGAAATACAGTATGATTCCATCCATAACAACAATATTATGCTGTAATGATTTTTGATCCCTGAAAGGCATTCCTTTTCAAATATTAAACATTGTATTGCTTTATGATTTGTTCTTTCATAATCATGAACTATTGCAAAAAGTTTAGTATCAACTCTAAATGCATGGTAAATTTATTATTTTATAACGCAGATAATATTCTACGAAAAACTAATACCTTTATAAAATGTATATCTTCCAATAGCCACATGGTCCGGTGTGTACATTTTTGTGTTCATCTCTTCTGATAGCATTATCTGTAATTGTAAAAGATAATTGATTGAAATATTTTATAAATAATTCATACATAATACTGAATACTAGTCAAAGATCTATGAAGTTATACCTATATTTTCATAGACTCTCATGAGCACATGTTACATGTTAAGCTTACAAAAATTATTCAGGAAGCATTATATCCTACAATCAAATTTTAGTAATTAGTTCATTATACTCAAAGTATAATCTTTAAATCGAATAAGTACAATAAAATTATAATTATAAATAATTTCTTTTCATTACGAGAAAATGCCGCCTATAATTTCTTACAAGTTTTGGATAAAATAATTACTTCTTCATTTTCATGTCTGCCTGCTGCTGCCTCATCTCTTCTATTTTTTCGCGACTATTCATTTCTGCAGTTTTCTTCTGCCAAAACTGTACTTTCTTCGATTTTCCTCAAAATCGTTAATAATTCGTCCGTTTAATTCAACATGCCGAAGCCGGTAGCAAAAATTTTCGCGGGAACAAGACATCACAATGTTTCATCTTGTCACCTTGCCTGTAAAGTCAACAATACAAAAATCAACGACATCAGCGTTTCAAGCAGTATGTAGTAGGAGCAAATTAAAGTCTGTTTCATGCATTAAGCTTTATTCATTGAACTTTAAATTACTCTGAACGAGAAATGGAGTAAGACGGTAAAATTTGATTAAGGGAAACATGCAAATAATAGGACTACCTTTTTTAAAAATGTTCTATTTTTAGCAGGTATAAATTATAAACCAGTATAATCATGAACCTATATTTAGTGTCATGTGTACTATCCTAAAATTGCACATAATAGAAACAATTGGAATTCAACACCGAACTTAGGAAATAAATAATTTTCATTATAATTGTATAAAGATCTATATTACAAAAGATCTTAATAATTTAAGAATATTTCAACCCCATTACGATCGTACGTAATCATTTCTGGAATGATGAAATTGTGCTCTGAAGAGAGCTTAGCTATCTTTGAATTGTAATATTGAACATGACATCATTCAGTGGTTCATGATGGTAAATTTAAAAAGAGCATGCGCATAACCTGTCAGCTCATAGCTGCTCATAGCATTCGAACGTGGAATGCTGTTGCTGTTTGTTCTTAATATTAATATTATTATTTTTGTTTATAACGAAGTGGACAAGTGTTAGGTAGAGTTCATATTGTTCCACGTTACTGATATTACGGATACGACTTTCGTCACGTCACAGGTGAGCTTCATGTTTGGAGAATTCGTCGTGCCGACGATCGTCGTGACGTAGCACATTCTTAGATTTTCATAGTTCTATGTATTTAAAACAAAGTTTGGTAGATTAATAAGTTTTAACAATAACAGAGCAAAGGACGGAGAATTCTGATATCGTCAATCTAATCGGAGTCATCCACTCGAGATGATGAATTTCGAAGAAGAAAAAGGATCTATGAGATCCTCATCACGAAATATTTGTTGTTGTCTCGCAACAGCTAGATATAACAGTTCAAAGTAAATTTCCCTAATTCGTGTTTAAACAATTTTTACATGATCATATTTTGTCATGCATCATTCAATACCAGTGTATATGTAGTTCTTGCATATGCTCATTAATTGTATTAATGTTTTAGTGCATATAGATATTTCGTAGACCATCCAGTCTGAATATATTGTTGGCTGAAGTAGGCAAGAAATATGGATGCGTTACAGAATCAGAATAATCATGAACTAATTCACTGTAGATATGATAATAGTAATAATAACAACAGATTAAGAGAATATGTTACTTTGGATAATCGTAGGGACGATCCTCTCAGTAAGCAAAAATACAAGAAAAGTAATTTGTATAATCGTAATGAATAATAAGCTATGTTTAGCTGTATACATTTACAGGTCGACCAGAAGTAACTATGAGTTTAAACGTTGGTTCATCAGAATTACCGCTTCATCCATTGGAAGAATTGGAAGAAGATATGTTTGATTATGATGCAGATGCATTGATTCAAGATATAAGCACAGAATCTGAGGTAAATTGATAAATATGACACAATTATTATGCTTTTAGGTTTACAATATCTCGGATTGTTTTCATTGATACTCGTTTAATCTGGTTGCACTGTATTGACTTAAATTATTTTATGTTCATTTGTAGGAACAAGTTGTACCATCCAGTCAAATAAGTAATATTTATAAATATCCAGAGGAACTTACCATTTCTGATGATGAAATAGATGAGGGTATATTCGAAGATGAACCAGTATCTAATTTAGTATTACCTGATGAAAATAACAGACTTGATTCTCAACCTCCATGAATACTTATCTTGCTGTAGTTGATATGTTTGTAGCGTAGCACTTTGTGCTGACTTGCTATCAATGGCTAATGTTATACAGTATTTCCATCCATCAGGATCACAGAATTCTGTGATAGTAACATTAGAATATTGATTGATGTTTTATACAAGAAGAAAACATTCCATATGTTATCTCAATTTTCATCCAACTGTAATTTGATGTGCAACCAAGCACAAATTAATTGTATGAATTTTAACATAAGTTCTTTTCATCAGTGAGAATGTATCAATGAATGAGAAACTTTGTAATGTTTGTTAATGTCTTTATCATATTGATATAAATTTTATTTTGGATTTTATTATAAAACTTATGTATATAATTATTATATAACATTGATATTGTTCTTTTGATTAAATAATATATTAAATATATTTTTAAGAAAATGTTTACATGATTATAGAAATTACATAAACAAGATAATAAACAATTGTCTTTCAATTGAATTATGTAAGGCCATTTTATGAAAATGTAATAAGGCATAAATATTCAACAATAAAAAGAGTTGTAATAAGGCAGTATAGATAAGGCTTTATTGTTATTTTACGTATAGAATAAGCTTAATACTTTTCAGTTATACATTGACGAAATAATATAGATTTTAAAAACGGTACTAGAAATAAGATGTGAATGAAACTAAATATGGAGGAATATTAAGTACAAATTGTTCAGCCTTCATGTTTATATTCAATAATTTGTTACTATTTTAGTAACAGTATATTTTCTTGAAAAAACTGCATAACTGCACGTTCGTGTTTACTATTCTTAATTAAATTGTTGAATGTTTAAATGATAGGTTTATATAAAATATTTTATTAATGAAATATCCTAATAGAAGGATAAGTTCCTTATGAAGTTTATGATGATGACTGAATATTTAATTTGTTTCTGCTATTTTTATTGCTTAACGGAATAATTTTTTAGTTCATGTGAAAGTTCAATGACACTGCAACTGTGATCTCACAGTTATATTGAGTGGGTTAATTTGATTCAGTACTCTTGTGATTCAGGGCAGAAAGTCACCGTAATATTTATGTTTCCAATACATCAGTAGGTTTGATATATTAACTAGTTTCTACTATTCGAAAAAGTATTTCTTCACGAATACAAATAAAGCTTGCAATGTATTCTGTTTAAACGAATATTCGAAATAACAGAATTATTTAAATTATTCCTTCAATTCTTATTTTTCTCTATGTGGTTTAACTGGACATTGATTTATCATTTCGTATTCATTTTGTGCTTATTACTTTTTGTATCAACTATTACCTTTCACTTATATAAAATAAAATGTAATTTCCAACCGTGATTTCTATAAATCATAGACATTTGTTAAATGATATCAATCATTTAGTAAATGGAACGCGTAATTTAGCGCGCAGATCGTTTAAAGTGAACGTAAACATGGACAATCCATCATTCGATGAGCACAGTGTCTAGTCAGTAATTTTCTCATCGTTATTAATTTGTATCATCAGGAAATAAATTATTTATCGAAAACGTGTAGTATTACATTTCATCACATTTCGATCAGAAAGCAACTTTTTTGTTATCGAACACGCAAACGAGCCTATACAATGTCGTATACTAGAATTACTTTCTGACTTGTGTTTGAAAGTGAAATTGTATCATGCTGAATCGAATTTCGAAGTTTTCTTGAGAACATAGTCGACATTTGTAGGGAAGGCTTTTATTGTTCCCATTGTTAATTTGCGTACGCTGCGAAAGACTATAGTCTATGGTGACAAATACATATTCGAACACTATCATTGTATTTAAAATTAATAAATCTTTATTATTATTATCAATAATAATTTTTATTATTCATTCAGAGATTTAACAATTTAGAAATTTATAGATTTATGGATTTAGGAATCTAAAGAGTTAGAACTTCAAAAATTGTAAAATTTGGAGATTTAGAAATTTAGTCATTTGACAATTTAGGAACTTGAAATTGGGAAGGAGAAATTTGGAAACGATGCTTTAAACATTTTGTTTATTGGAAGTAGCAGAATGCATTTCCGTATTTCTGCTGCCAATTGAAAAGCATAGAGAACAAATCGTAGCAAAAAGTAGCTTAAAAGAGGAAGATGATGCAGTTGATTTATAGGATGTATATTTATGACGCTGAGGTAAACGTACTTCGGGAAGTTGAACAATTTTAATGTCATAACATAAACAGTTTATTTTTCGAAACTTCATACTGCAATTTTCTCAGTCAAATATTTCTCGAAATAAGTAGTTCGAACAATTTTACTAGATTCATTTAAAATTCATAGGAATACGTATTTGTGATAAAATTATTCTCAATTAAATGTGTGAATATTCTGATAGAATAATTTGTCTGATACTTATTGTAATTTATATTTCTTCTTCAAAATATTACGATATTGTAACAGAGTTCAATATATTTGTAAAATATTTGTCTAAAATAGTTGTTTAAAATATTTAAATTCTATGCTGAATTAAATTCAAATTTTGGAAGAAAACATTAAAATCTATGTTTTTAAAATTCACGTTAGACTAATACATGATTACTGTCTAAAAAAAATTTGTTGTAATATCGCATGTTTATAAATCTGGTCCACTCCAAAATTCTGATAATTAAAATTCCGATATCTATAGTTCCGACATTATTCTAATATTTTATTAGCCTTTTTAATATTTACAAAAATGAATTAAATTTGAAAGCTAAACAAATACTTAATTTTTAAAAGGATGTAGTACATATTACATATATTTAACATTTAACTTAATTATCACAAAAAGCACATAGTTAAAGTATCAAAATAATGTCATAGTTTTAAAATATTTAGAAAGAAACATTATGGCAATACCGCAGTGGTAATCCACGATAGTAGCCATAGAGGTAGCCATATTGGTACCGAGATTATGGGTGTTGGGATTTTAGCTGTGGGGATTATGGCAGATACCCATAGAAATCAATAATTTCTTACAATAAATGCAATATAACACGTCACTCAATAAGTCCCCGGTCTGACACATATATGGCGACACTGGTGACAGACCCACGTTATTTTCGAATAATACTAACCTTCAAACAGTACGTGTCAAAATTTCATGGTATTCTGACCAATAGTTTAGAAGTTACAGTCACTTTAGTACCCCCAGTTTCGTAATTTTGAAGACAATGGATAGAAAGGTATTTCGTGTGTTGATTAAACACTGTTTTTTAATCGGAAAAAATACTGTTGAAGCCAAAAAGTGACTTGATAAGCATTATAGGGACTCTGCACCAGGGAAATCAACTATCATTGACTGGTATGCTGAATTTAAACGCGGTCATACAAGCACCGATGATGCTGAACGCTCTGGTTGCCCAAAATCAGCAGTCGTTCCGGAAAACATAAAAAATGTCACAAAATAGTTTTAAAGGGCCGTAAACTTAAGTTGTGTGAGATAGCTGATGCCTTGAAGATATCAGAAGGTAGTGTCTTCACAATTTTGCATGAAAATTTGGGCATGTGCAAATTGCTTTCAAAGTGGATGTCGCGTTTGCTGTTTCACGAAGGCAATGCGCCGTGTCACAAGTCGATGAACACGATGATTCAATTGAATGAATTACGTTTTGAATTGTTTCCCCACACACCGTACTCCCCAGATTTGGACCCCAGCGACTACTGGCTCTTTGCAGATATGAAAAAAATGCTCCAGGGAAAGAAATTTGGCTCAAATGAAGAAGTGATTGCGGAAATTGAAGCTTATTTTGGGGGCAAAGACAAATCGTTTAATATAAAGGGAATTGAAGTTAGAGGAGCGTTGGAATCAATGTATCACATTGGAAGAAACGTATATTGATGATTAAAGTGGAATTTCTAAAAAAAAATTTGTTTTTCTTAGTTAGACCGGAGACTTATTGAGTGACGTGTTATTCTGATATAATTATGTTTTCAAGATGGTTGATCACACTCACGTCTTCATTACTTTCAATTAATTATTGTAAAACTTGCATTTTTTTCCGCTGTAATCTTACACCGTGGTACATGATTCAAGAATGCGGAAATGATTGCAAAATTTCATGTTAATGTCAGACTCGAACAAGGAAAGCTGTCTTTGCATTTTCGGTTCGCACAGAAGTCTACACGTGCGTGTGAAGAAAATTTGAGCTTCAGTTATTCGAAATTCCATTTCAAAATGATCGGAATAATACTTTTATTGTAAAATTCACTGATCGCGTTACAAACACATTTATTAGTATAAGTAGCATTTTTGTTGAGTGTTATGTAGATGTAATGACTATTTTTAGTTTTAGCATTAAGCATTATATAGAATTGTTAAGTGTCGCTTCATTGTATCATAATTTTGATTGATAATGTAACATAATATTTATGAATGTATATATTTATAGAAATTATTTCATAACTTTCATATATATGAAAATTATAATATTAAGAAAAGAAAATTTATAATAAGAAAATTATTATACATATGAAAATTATTTATGAAATAAATTTGACAGTAAATGATATTTATGATTTATGAATTTATTGTTCGTCTCATTTAATCTTCAAAACCGCCATGCTATTTATAAACATAAAATTGTAATTCTAATAGAATATAAAACGTCAGACAATAGTAATTTTAGGAATACATAACAAAATTAAATTTTTGAACAAATTCAAAACTTTACGCTATTTATAACCATAAAATTATAATTCTAATAGAATTTAAATCTTTGACAATAGTAATTTCAGGAGTACATAATATAATTAAATTTTTGAACAAAGTTAAAGCTTTACGCTATATAAATAGCCAAAATATAGCAATAAACATAAAATTGTAATTCTAATAGAATTTAAAACTTCGACAACAGCAATTTTAGTGAAACTAAATCTTTGAACAAAGTTAAAACTTTCGTAAATGAAAAGTATATGGCGTTTGATAATCGTACAATTCGAAACAAATATAGGAAGCGTATTTCATCAGGTCAGTATTCATCGTGCATTACGATACCAGAAATCGTACGACACGATGTCTGGTGTAATTCAAGCCAGGGTCTAGTTTCGCTGGTACAGAAATACCGGGCGATAGTTTTGCAAGCAGTTTCGTGTTTCACGTAAGGACGACAACTTTTCATTGGCGATGTTATATGGAAGTGTCTATTACGCTTGTATTTTAAAAATGACACAATTCAAAAAATGCATTTCTCGAGTAGTCACGATGAGAATATTGTGGAGTATCTCTGTCAATTATGAAAATTGCATTCGCTTATCTTCGCAAAATGGCCGATAGAGAGCGGTTACTGCTCTTTTCTTGAATTAGGTGATACTGCGCTTATTTTAT